TATACAAAACATTGACATGTAATGCAGAAAGTTAAGTCACATTAAGTGAAGGACTTCAGGTGTAGAAGAGGTGCATGACCATGTAGGTAATGCTGGGTGAGGTTTGGGCTGGGAGTCTGAAACATGGTCATTTGAAAATGAAAATGAAAACTTTTATGTCCTTGCAAAGCTTACAATGTGTGATTTACATATTACAAGATATTAATCCTTTCAGGGTCCAGACCCCTCATTTGAAACTTGTCCACAGGGTTCAAGAATTTTGAAAACATTTTTTTTGTTATTTTTCTTATGAAATGGTAGAGAATCTTTTTCTGAAGGCAATAAAACAAAATGTATGAAATTTGATGGAAAACTGATGAAATTATACTCGCAAATTTTGCTGTGTCAGCGATATTTACGCATCGGCAATTTTGCCCACTTTGATTCCCATTTTAGGCCAATTATATTATTCCAGTCAACCAAATTCTTAGCTATTTCGCTAGTATTACTTCTATTTTATCGACTGAGCACAAAAAATTGCCCATTCAACTGTTTCAATTACCCATTAGTGTTTGGAAATTGGTAATTTGGCCAATTTCATAAAGTTCATAATATTCCAATTTCAAAATAGGGTTCAGAAAAAACAATGCAGGCATTCCTGGCACTAAAATAACATTTCTTCTGTTTATTAGTTATGTTTACAGGCTTTACAAATAAATTACATTTTTATTTTTTATTCATATAATGAATTTTTATTCACACCAAAAAATAGAAGATTTACTGTTATGCAATATTGTAATAATTGAATAAATAATATCAGCGCATTCATGAATGCACATTAGACCCACCAGCTGACATGTATTGGATGTATAATGTCATTTGTTTACTCTTGAACATCGGCAAAAATTGAACATTTGCGCTACTTTGAGCTCAGTTTCAAGCCATTTTCTGTACTAAAACCAATCAAAATCATCTTTATTTCTGTAATATATCTTCCATTCTATCAATGATCACCAAGAAACAGCGAATACAACTGTAAAAAACAACCGAAAAAACAATGCAAATTCACTGTTTTAATCCAAATATATGGTCTTTTTTTTTTTCTCATGCAATGCGTGCTGCAGGATTTGTTTTATGTGATGCACACTTACCACATAGATGTATTCTCTCATATCTAGGGCCAAATTTACCACTCACAGCTTATCTGAGTGAGCTGAGCTCATGGCATGGAACTATGGCTTTAACCCTGGCTTTAAAGCCATAAAACTACGGACCATCAAAGGATTAATTATAAAGAAAGCCACTAGCATGCCTAGACATTTAGGGCAGCATAATCATAATTCTGTGCTTCCTGTGCTGATTCAAAATTTTTTTGTGCAGTAAGTTTTGCTAAAATGTGCATTCCTTTATTCTGTGTGATGGTGTCACATAATTAGTTGTGGATTCTAGATTTCATCATCTCACTGTCATTCTCCTGGAACAGTGAATGTGCTTAATTTCACTTCATGAGATGTGTATATATGCTACAATGCATTGCACATGCAGATTTATTAAGTTGCTGTTATCAAATGTTCAAATTTCTGGACTTCACCTACAGTATATGATCACATTCTCACAGGGGATACTGTGAACAACTGTTCTTGATGTCTGGGGTGATCTGATGAATTATATATCAAAAGGTTTGCAATTTCTGGTGGAGTAATGATAATCTTCAGAGGTGAGCCATAGGGTTTATTGGATATAATGGTAGAGGCATGCATTGGTTGATAGCTCATACCAGGCTGAGGCCTTGTGAAAAACTAGGGAGAGAGGACAATGCTAGCTCATACCGGGCTGAGACCTAGCGAGAGAGTAGGGGAGAGGACACTGATAGCTCACACCAGGCTGAGACCTAGTGGGAGAGTGGGGGTGGGGGAAAGGGGACATCTTGCTGTTTATGTGACTGTTAAGAAAGTGAGAAACGTGCAGCATCTTGTAAATCCACCTCTAGGTTTGAACTAAGCCCTCCAGATAGCAGCCAAATATCTGAGCAGAATGACTTGATATATAAGCCTGATTGGTTACAGAATTTCTCGAAGTTTGTTTATATCAAAAGTGTAAAACCAATGCTGGCTGTACAAGACAGGTGATAGTAGCTGTTGTGTATAGCAGAGGTGATGGTAGCTGGTGTGTATAGTAGAGGTGATGGTAGCTGTTGTTTGCAGTAAAAGTGATGGTAGCTGTTGTGTATAGTAGAGGTGATGGTATAGCAGAAGTGATGGTAGCTGTTGTGTACAGTAGAGGTGATGGAAGCTGTGTATAGTAGATGTGATGGTAGCTGTTGTGTAGAGGTGATGGTAGCTGTTGTTTGCAGTAGAAGCATTGGTAGCTGTTGTTTGCAGTGGAAGCATTGGTAGCTGTTGTTTGCAGTAGAAGTGATGATAGCTGTTGTTTGCAGTAGAAGTGATGGTAACTGTTGTATATAGTAGAGGTGGTGGTAGCTGTTGTGTATAGTAGAGGTGACAGAAGCTGTTGTCTGTAGTAGAGATGATGGTAGCTGTTGTGTATAGCAGAAGTGATGGTAGCTGTTCTGTATAGTAGAGGTGATGGTAGCTGTTCTGTATAGTAGAGGTGATGGTAGCTGTTGTGTAGAGGTTATGGTAGCTGTTGTGTTGAGGGGATGGTAGCTGTTGTGTATAGAAGAAGTGATGGCAGCTGTTGTGTACAATAGAGGTGAGAGGTGATGGTAGCTGTTGTCTACAGTAAAGGTGATGGTAGCTGTTGTGTATAGTAGAAGTGATGGTAGCTGTTGTCTACAGTAGAGATGATGGTAGCTGTTGTCTATAGTAGATGATGGTAGCTGTTGTCTGCAGTAGAGGTGATGGTAGCTTTTGTCTGCTGTAGAGGTGATGGTGGTAGTTGTCTGCAGTAGAGGTGATGGTAGCTGTTGTCTACAGTAGAGGTGATGGTAGCAGTTGTGTATAGTAGAGGTGATGGTAGCTGTTGTGTATAGTAGAAGTGATGGTAGCTGTTGTCTGCAGTAGAGGTGATGGTAGCTGTTGTCTGCAGTAGAGGTGATGGTAGCAGTTGTGTAAAGGAGAGGTGATAGTGGCAGTTGTGTATAGTAGAGGTGATGGTAGCTGTTGTGCATAATAGAGGTGATGGTAGCTATTGTCTGCAGTAGAGGTGATGGTGGCTGTTGTCTGCAGTAGAGATGATGGTAGCTGTTGTCTACAGAAGAGGTGATGGCAGGTGTCTACAGTAGAGATGATGGAAGCTGTTGTCTGCAGTAGAGGTGATGATAGCTGTTGTCTACAGTAGAGGTGATGGTAGTTGTTGTCTGATGTAGAGGTGATGGTAGTTGTTGTCTACAGTAGAGGTGATGGTAGCTGTTGTCTACAGGAGAGGTGATAGCATTTGTTGTCTACAGTAAAGATGATGGTAGCTGTTGTCTGCAGTATAGGTGATGGTAGCTGTTGTCTGCAGTAGAGGTGATGGCAGCTGTTGTTTGCAGTAAATGGGTAATGGAAGCAGCCATTTATCTGGTGGTTAAAATTAAGCAGAAAATGGTAAATGTGGTCTCGGGAGTTGGAGAGGATGCTAAGAGCTGTGCTTTTGCAGGAGAGGATGATATTTGGGAAACTTCTAAGTACAGAACGATCTACGTATGTTTGTTCATCAAGAAGATACTGTTATAGATCTTGAGGGCATGTAAAAAGTGCCCATAATTATGCCCCTTTTTGTTCTGAGGGCATAGTGAGAGGTGTACTAGTGGATGAAGTTGTCTCTATTGGTAGGCTTTCTATAAATTATATTTTCCAAGTTATCAGTATCCCAGATAAGGAGGACATCAATAAAAGGTAGGACGTCATCTTTCTTTTCTTGCAATGTGAATTGCATAAAAGGTTCAACCTTTGTCACAATATCTCGTAAGTATTTCATTACTTTGATAATACTACCATGCTAGTATCTTCGTTATTAGCTAAAATGAAGCTACTACTTGATGTGGAGGTGTCTGATATAGCTTTACTCTCACTCCCAGGTATAATTCTTGATGTGGAGGTGTCTGATATAGCTTTACTCTCATTCCCAGGTATAATTCTTGATGTGGAGGTGTCTGATATAGCTTTACTCTCACTCCCAGGTATTACTCTTTGACTTGGATTTGCTAGAAAATTAAAGATCCATCCTTTACTTTCCCCATTATTTAATTAGCATGCACTTTGTGATATTACACTATGCTTTCATTTGTCAAAAAGCTTTAATGAAGTTTATAAACTGCATCAATATTTTGCTTCTTCTCAAAAAACCGGCAGTAGTGGTCTAACGGTTAAAAGAAGCAGGAACAACCTATTATAAAAACCACACTGATCTGGGTTGTACAAATTTTATGTTATTATTCCACATGACCTGGGTTGTATAACTGTTAATCAATAATTGACCATCAAATCTCTCAGCGCACTTTAAAAAAATTGACGTGTGATGTCACTGCTAATAGTTTATTGTAATTGCCTTTGCTGCCAACTTTTGTAAGAGTTGTATCAGCTGCTATTAGAACTTGTGGGATGATATTTGTGTTTCCACTGCATATTAAATGTCTGTGATGATCTACAAGTCTAGACTCAGGAAAAAGTGCATGGACATTCCAGTAATAGCTTCTTCACAATCAAAACTGGGTTGTCAGAATTTGCTGTTGAATATTTTTAACAAAAACTTGTAAAAGCCTCTCTACCTTTTCTTACATATTTGAATATAGTTTCTGATAGTACACCATGTTTATATCTGAATTTACGTTCTTTATGAGTGTTACATTTGCTTAACCCGTAAACAGTCCAAGCAGATCTACGTTCACATGTGTAGTGCTACAAAAGTAGATCTAAGTTTTTTTTACATATTTTCAAATATAACAAAAAAAAAAGGTAGATCAAAGTTTTTTTTACACATTTTCAAATGTAGAAAAACAAAAAGAAGATCTACTTTTTTTACATACTTTCAAATGCTGAAAAAACGTATATATACGTTTGGACCGTTTACAGGTTAAGGAAGAATTGAGGACTAGCTTAAGGAAGAATTGAGGATGGCGAAGATGGAGATTCGGAGACTGACCAAGGAAAAGAAGAAGATTCGTGGTAGTCCTCCTGTTTTGAGTCCTCAAGTCAAGAAGGGAAACTGGTCAGTGGCTGGACAGCATGGAACAAAGTTGACGATCAAGAAGACGAATGGAAAGGTAGAAACGATGAAGAAGAAAGAGACTGCTGTGGAAACATCTAATGCATTCTCCGTGCTACCCGACGAATGTGAGTTGACTACTGGGAACATCACGATGAACAACACCAAGGAAGGTAAGAATACTGTTGTTGTTGGGGATAGCCAAGTTAAGTACACGGATAGGGCATTCTGCTTGAAGGACAGGAGTAGGAGACAGAGAGTTTGCTTTCCTGGGGCTGGGATGGAGGATATTGTTAGCCATCTGGATGACATCATGAGAGGTAATGGGAGCAATCCTATTATCTGTCTCAGTGCTGGAGGCAATGATGTTGGCAGACGTAGGAGTGAAGACCTGATTAGCAGGTATAGGTCAGCAATAGAAATAATTAGGAGGAAGGGTGGGAACCCTGTCATATGTGGTATTTTGCCAAGGAGAAGAGTTGAAAATGAATGGTTGTCCAGGGCAATTGGTGTCAAATGCTGGCTGGACAAATACTGTAAGGAAAATGCGGTAACATTTATTGACAACTGGGACCTCTTCCATGGCAGAAATGACACGTATGCCAGGGATGGGGTTCACTTATCTAGGTCTGAGGTGGGGGCACTGGCAACTGCAGTGGAGGGAGCTGTTAGGACTTTAAACTAGGAATAGTTAGTGGTATGGGTTTTGGCAGGAAAACAGTGAAGTCCCAGTGTAGTAATATTATGAGATCTAGGGGAACTAGTAATAAGCAGAACGAGGTAGATATTGAAAAGCCAGTGACACTAGGTGATAAGGACAGTAATAGGTTTAGTAGAAAAACAGAAATGAGCAGGAAGGGTAAAGAGGAAGGAGAGTCTTTTAATGTATATTATGCTAATAGCCGTAGTGCTAGGAATAAGATGGACGAGTTGAGGTTAGTTGCTAGTGCAGGTAACATTGATGTATTTGCCATAACTGAGATGTGGTTTAATTCAAAAGTCGGGACATGCCTGCGGAATGTCACATTCAGGGTATTAAATTGTTCCAAGTAGATAGAAGTATCGGGAAGGGGGGTGGGGTGGCACTGTATGTCCGAGATCATTTGAACTGTTGCATAAAAATGGGTATTAAGTCTGAAGTAACACATACAGAGTCTGTTTGGATAGAATTTCAGAGGGGCATGAAAAACTGATTTTAGGTGTGATATACCATCCCCCAAACTTAGATAGGGACCAAGGGAGACTACTATGGGAGGAAACGGTTAAGGCCACAAGGCACGATAATGTAGTAATTCTAGGAGACTAACTTTAGTCATCTTGATTGGAATTTCTTGACTGGGAATTTAGAATCATACGACTTCTTAGAAGTAGTTCAGGATTGTTTTTTGAAGCAGTTTGTGACAGAACCCAAAAGGGAAAATAACCTGCTTGACCTAGTTCTGACAAACAATGAATCCCTTGTTAATAATTTAGAAATTTCAGAGGAACTGGGTGCTAGCGACCACAAATCAATTATATTTAGCATCGAATGGAAGTATGATAGTAGGGATAACTCAGTAACAGTCCCAGATTTTCGCTTAGCAGATTATGATGGGCTTAGTGAATACTTATCATCTGTTGACTGGGGTAACGAAGAGAGCTATCAATATGACAGTTTTCTGAACACTATACATGTTGCTCAAAGAACGTTTATCCTGCATAAAGAAATTAGATCAAATAGAAATGACCCAAAATGGATGAATAATACGCTGAAATATCTACTAGGGCATAAGAAGGGAATTTATAGGCATATCAAAAGAGGTGAGGGTCATCTTATGAATCAGTATATTGACATTAAGAGGGACATTAAAAAGGGGATAAGAAAAGCTAAAAGGGACTATGAAATTAAAGTTGCTAGGGATTCAAAAACTAACCCAAAAAGTTTTTTCCAGGTCTATAGAACAAAAGTTAGAGATAAGATAGGTCCCCTTAAAAATAACTATGGGCATCTTACTGACAAAGAGAATGAAATGTGCTCGATTTTAAATAATTATTTTCTCTTGGTTTTTACACAGGAAGACACTAACAATATTCCAGTAATTAATTTTTACAGTGGGCCTGAAGAAGATAAATTATGTAACATCACAGTCACTAGTGAAATGGTTGTGAAGCAGATAGACAGACTGAAGCAAAATAAGTCGCCGGGTCCTGATGAGCTTTTTTCAAGGGTTCTTAAGGAATGCAAAATGGAACTCTGTGAACCAAGAAGCTCATTGCTAGTAATCCCTTCCTTAAATCTCTTGTTAGAGCAACTGCTCAAGAAGAAATTTCTCACCTAGCTGGTAGTAATAAGTTATCACAAGTTATATGCACTGATGGATCTAAACAGGAGTCTTCTGGCAGGGCTGCATCTGCTCTTGTTGCCACCTCCCTAGTTAAGAACGATAATAAACTTGTGGAGTTAGGCATAAGAATTAACAACTGGGCGTCTACACTGCAAACTGAATTGTTTGCAATCCAAATGGCGCTAAAGCTAACCTATGACACTGAGCTTGACTCTATCATCATTACTGATTCTATGTCATCATTGAAGGCTCTTGACTCATATAATGACTCCAACAACATGCTCATTGGGGAAGCCAGGTATAGATACTAAAAAATTAGGGACAAAGGAATTAATGTACAATTGCTATGGATCCCATCACACATTGGATTACTCCTTCATGATAAAGTTGATATGTTAGCCAAGAAGAGTACCCAGAAGGAGAATGTAGAATATAACTTTGGTATAACTGTGTCTAGCATTAGGAATAATATTAGGAGAGAAGTAAATAATGAAAATGATTGTTATAGGAATGCAGTTAGAAGCCTGAGTAGATCTATAACCCACTATGATAACAAGAACGTAGATAAGTATGTTTATGGAGCTACTTGCAATGTGAACAGACTGACTGATGTTGTAGTGGCCAGGCTTAGGCTTGGTTACAAGTACTTCTGGCAGTTTGGGAGACACAGAGATGATGATCAAACTAAATGTAAATTATGTGATCAGGCATATGGTCACTCTCTTGAACATTATGTGCTTAATTGTCCACTTATTGAGGAATACAGAGACAGACAGTATAATAACCTATGTGACATGTCAAGATATCTTATTAATGAAAATAAGATACCAGATATACTAAGCAAATTTCCTAAATTTGCTTGTAACAGATAAGTGAACTATAGATATGTAGATATAAATCCATATGTATTCCTGTTAACCCTTTGGGGCCTAGTTCCTAGGCCTTTTGTGTATCCATATGCTCTCGCGCTACCGTCCACAGGATGGATATGGGGTGCACAATAAACTAGCCACTTCGGTGGCAAAATCTAAAAACTAATATTTTTAATTTATCTCTTCGAACAGGTGTAATGTCTGATAGTTGGAAGATGGCTAATGTAATTCCTATTTTTAAAGCAGGGTACAAGTCGTTACCATCAAATTATTGCCAAATAAGCCTGACCTCAATTGTAGGCAAATTACTAGAGTCAATTATAGCTGAGATTATAAGAAGCCATCTCAATAAGCATATCTTGATTAATGATACTCAGCATGGATTCACGAGAGGCCGTTCTTGTCTAACTAATTTATTAACTTTCTTCAGTAAAGCTTCTGAGGCTGTTGATCATGATAAAGAATTTGATATTATTTACTTAGATTTTAGTAAGGCTTTTGATAGAGTTCCGCACCAAAGACTGTTAAAGAAAGTTGCAGCTCATGGCATTGGGGGAAAAGTGCTCTCATGGATCGAGTCATGGCTCACAGACAGGAAGCAGTGTGTGTCCATAAATGGGGTTAAATCCGAGTGGGGATCTGTAACAAGTGGCGTTCCACAGGGATCAGTCTTGGGCCCGTTGTTGTTTATAATATATATCAATGATCTTGATGAGGGAATTACTAGTGAAATGAGCAAATTCGCTGATGACACAAAGATAGGTAGGATAATTGATTCAAACGTAGATATCAGGGAACTTGAGGAGGATTTAAACAAACTCAATACCTGGTCAGCAAAGTGGCAGATGCAGTTCAATGTAGATAAATGCAAGGTTCTGAAGCTCGAGAGTGTCCATAACCCCAGCACTTATAAGTTAAATAATGCAGAACTTAGCTATACAGATTGTGAAAAGGACTTGGGGGTTATGGTGAGCAGTAACCTTAAACCAAGACAGCAGTGCCTAAGCATACGTAATAGGGCAAATAGATTATTGGGATATATGTCAAGAAGTGTACAACAGAAGTCCAGAGGTTATACTGCAGCTTTATACATTATTAGTAAGGCCTCACCTAGATTATGCAGCTGAGTTCTGGTCTCCATATTACAGAATGGACATAAATTCGTTAGAAAACATTCAGCGTAGAATGACTAAGTTAATACATAGCATTAGAAATCTTCCTTATGAAGAAAGATTGAAGACTCTTAAATTACATTCACTTGTTAGACGAAGAATGAGGGGAGACATGATCGAAGTGTATAAGTGGAAGATGGGTATTAATAAGGGGATATTAATAAGGTCTTGAGACTATCTCTCAAAGAGATAACCTGCAGTAATGGATTTAAATTAGAAAAGTTTAGATTTAGGAAGGACATAGGAAAGTATTGGTTTGGAAATAGGGTAGTTGATGAGTGGAACAGTCTACCTAGTTGGGTTATTGAGGCTAGGACTTTAGGTAGCTTCAAATTTAGGTTGGATAAATATATGAGTGGGAGGGGTTGGATTTGAGTGGGACTTGCAAATGAGTGGATAGAGTTATCAGACCTTATTTCTTGGGGAGCATTGAAAACTGGGTTGGGCAAATGTGTTGTTAGTGGGATGGATTGTAAAGGACCTGCCGAGTAAGGGCCAACAGGCCTGCTGCAGTGATCCTCCTTTCTTATGTTCTTAAATTTGCAAATCAGATAATTATGCAAGAATTATTATATTCATGAACAAAACTGGGAATGGACTTGTCAACAGATGGGTTTATGAAAGATGATGGAAGTGGTATTTATGACCTGATGTGCTGTTGCAGTGTGAGCAAGGTAATATTTATGAAAGTGGGGTCAGGGAAACCAATTAGCCAGACTTAAGTCCTGGAGGTGGAAGCACAGTGCCTGCACTCAGAAGGAGGGTGGGGGGATATTTGCAGTTCTGAACTGTAGTATTTGCACACCTCTGGCGAGATAGTGATGGAATGAGTGGTGTTGAAAGTGTTTCTTCTTTTCCAGGTCACCCCACCATGGTGAGAGACAGCCGGTGTGTTATAAAAAGAAAAGAAGAAAAAAAGAAAAAATAATGAAATATATACAGCAATACAGAGTTACACTTTACAAGAACAGTCAGTGCTAGAACCACTTGATATAAAGAGAAGGCTTTACAATAGAATTAATAATAAAAAGGGAACACTACCTTAGTTCTATTTCTATAGCTACTAAGAGGAAATCAGTTATTTCACGAGCTTAGTATAAAATTGACACAAAAGGTTGCAGAGTCACATTCGAATAAACCAAATAAATTTAAGCTATAAATTGTGTTGAGTGTAGAGTACTTACTCTGCTACACTGAGCCAGAGAGCAGTGTCTGGAGTATATATGTAAGGGTCAGTTCTGGCCTTCTTGGCTGCTGGTGGCTCAACTCTTCTCTCTTCTCGCTGTGATATTAACACTTGTCTTTCTAACACTAGTATACCTAAGGCCTCAAGTTGACTCCCTAAACAAGCTGAAAGAAACATCACAAGGTAATTAATTTTTTTTACCAAACGTCTGATGCATTAATCACAGTACAACAAATATAACAAGAAAACCATTACCTATTAAATGTGAAATAGGTTATTGAAATGCTTCTATAGTTGAGAAACAGTGATGTTTAAATTTGTCAATAGGAATTTCTAAGTGATTATGAGTAACTATGTTTTTAAAATATGATGCCATCACATACCTGGAGCTGGCAAACAAACAAACAAACAAAGAAAAAAATGCAACTAGGTTTCTGTGATATCCTATATTTAACCCTCAGACTGTTGCTCATGTACATCTAAGCAATTAAGCCCAATGGTGCTTACATAGTTCAATTTGTAAATCATAGTGCCCTCAAATATGCTGTGAGCATATCTGTGCAGTGGGTGTGCACAATATAAAAAATCCTGCCCCATTACGATGCAAGATAGTAACAGCAAACATCTGACTTTGAGTCTGGGTTAAAACAACTTTGGATGTTTTCTTGGGTGGTTTACAAGGTTATAGTTCAAGCCACCAATAGTGGACTGAAAAAGGCCATTCTTGTACTACTACTACTACTACTACCACCACCACCTCTTCCTGCCTATATATAGCCGTCCTGCTCCACTTCTGGTTAGTGTGACTTTGTAAATGGTCCAAGTCAGACCGAAACGTCATCGTAAGCTTCTCTCTTTTATGTGCGGGTTATTTGTGTAATCATCTACAAACACCAGCACCCACAATTTAAGGTAAGCAATACTATTTTTTATGTTACATTGTAGTCTTAAGCAGTAAAAACAACATAATACATCACAACAATGAACTACAATTACATATTCACTTTTATTTTTGTAAGATGTGGAGGCTTAAAAAAAAAAGTTGTATGGCTTTTTTGGGGCTCTCAGGAACGTAACCCTATTTTTCCCGTAAGTTCTTCAGTTCATCTAACACAGTTTTACCTAACATGACATTTTCAGGAACATAACTACCATGCTAAATGAAGGTCTACTGTATATTATATTATTATACTATTACAGTGGAACCTCAAAAATCGAACGTATCACATATCGAACATTTCGAAAATAAGACAATTTTTTCGGACAAACTGTCCCTATTATCGAACGTTCCCCTATTTTCAGACCGCCGGGTACGGGACCTGTCCACTGGCTCTCTCTGTCTGGGTCCCCGCGCAGGCGCCGTGAGCAGTCTAGCTTTGTTTATGCTTGAGTGAACACTAACCTGCCATCTCATTCACACATTTTACAATTATTTAATTGTGTTTAGTGCTTGTGGGGCTGTGAAATAAGCTGCCATGGGCCCAAAGAAACTTGCTAGCAGTACCCCTGTGGTAAATGAAAGTGAGAAACACCATAGATGTGAAGAAGGAAATAATACAGAAGTATGAGATTGGAGTGAGACTTGTTAAGCTTGCCAGGATGTACAGAGGACTGTGGACAGTTTTGTGAGACAGAAACAGACGACTGTGGACAGTTATTTTGTGAGACAGAAACAGACAACTGTGGACAGTTATTTTGTGAGACAGAAACAGATGACTGTGGACAGTTATTTTGTGAGACAGAAACAGACGACTGTGGAGTTATTTTGTGAGACAGAAACAGACAACTGCGGAGTTATTTTGTGAGGCAAACAGACGACTGTGGACATTTATTTTGAGACAGAAACAGATGACTGTGGATAGTTATTTTGTGAGACAGAAACAGACGACTGTGGAGTTATTTTATGAGACAAACAGACGATTGTGGAGTTATTTTATGAGACAGAAACAGACAACTGTGGACAGTTATTTTGTGAGACAGAAACAGACGACTGTGGAGTTATTTTGTGAGACAGAAACAGACAACTGTGGAGTTATTTTGTGAGACAAACAGACGACTGTGGACATTTATTTTGAGACAGAAACAGATGACTATGGATAGTTATTTTGTGAGACAGAAACAGATGACTGTGGAGTTATTTTGTGAGACAAACAGACAACTGTGGAGTTATTTTGTGAGACAGAAACAGACAACTGTGGAGTTATTTTGTGAGACAAACAGACGATTGTGGACAGTTATTTTGTGAGACAGAAACAGACGACTGTGGACAGTTATTTTGTGAGACAGAAACAGACGACTGTGGAGTTATTTTGTGAGACAAACAGACAATTGTGGACAGTTATTTTGTGAGACAGAAACAGACGACTGTGGATAGTTATTTTGTGAGACAGAAACAGAGGACTGTAGACAGTTATTTTGTGAGACTGGGGTCCAATGACTCTCAAGCTGGTCCTAGTGGCATTAAAATACAGAGAAGGGAAGCAACCCCAGAGAGGGCTTTGATACCGGAAGTCCTCATGGAGGGGGATTCTCCTTCCAAACAACAACCCCAACTCCCTCTCTCCTCCTCCCTATCTTCCAGATGCCATCACCAATCTTCAATAAAGGTAAGTAAAAATGTTATTTTATATTACTATACATAATTAAAGACTATAGCATTTGTTGTGTGTATGTAAAACTGTAATTAATCTCTACAAAATGTATTTTTTTTTGTGAATATTTTTGGGTTTCTGGAACGGATTAATTGTATTTTCATTATTTCTTATGGGAAATATTGCTTCGAATTTCAAACTTTTCGCATTTAGAACTAGCTCCTGGAACGGATTAAGTTCGAAATTTGAGGTTCCACTGTATACTATTGTGTTATTATTATTATGTATTATAATAATTATTATTATTCTTATTATTATTAATTTAGGGAACTGGAGCACAGATCCAGTTCCCTAGATCAAGAGCCCCTCTCCACGTACATAATAATTATTATAACAATACTACTACTACTACCACTTCCCCTCAGGGAAGGTTCCTTAGATAAAGAAATAAAATATTTATTTCTTTGCAAAGGTTACAATGTGTGTTTACCTATCATAACATGACTGGAGCAAAGAAAGCCACTATCATGCCGAGGCATTTCAGGCAGACTTAACCTAATACTTATAGACTACTTAAGTCTAGACAGGTGAAGAGTGGTAGTGGTTATCAATGTTTTGCTGATGGTGGTGCCAACTGTACTGGTTGCCTTTTGAAGTTTCTCCTTACTGTTGTTATTATTATTATTATTATTACTATAATGTATTATTATTATTATTAGTCTAATCTAATCCTGGAGAGAGTTCCGGGGGTCAACGCCCCCACGGCCCGGTCTGTGACCAGGCCTCCTGGTGGATCAGAGCCTGGAGGGCTGGTCACAGACCAGGCTGCGAGGGAGTTGACCCCCGGAACTCTCTCCAGGATTAGATTAGGCTAATAATAATACATTATAGTAATAATAATAATAATAATAATAACAACAGTAAGGAGAAACTTCAAAAGGCTACCAGTACAGTTGGAACCACCATCAGCAAAACACTGGTAACCACTACCACTCTTCACCTGTCTAGACTTAAGTAGTCTATAAGTATTAAGTTAACGCTTTCAGGGTCCAAGGCCAAAATCTGAAGTGGTGCCCCAGTGTCGAAGAAATTTAAAAAAAAAAAAAAAAAAAATTTCTTACAGAATTAAAGATAATATTTTTGTGAAGGTAATAAAACAAACAAAAAAAATTTCTGATCAGTACATACCGAGATACAATGGCGGGAAATTGACCCAAAATGACTGGGTGGCGGCAACATCAGTGACTTCCGCAAAATCCCATTTTTTTATTTTACATTTTTTATACTTTTTTCTTTTCTTTTCTAATTTTTTCTTTTTTCTAATAACATTTGTGGCCTGTGAGACCAGTATAATATATATTGTATAAGTGTACACTCATTGTATTCAACACAATAACTGCACTAATTTGTTTATCATTATATTGCTTACAAAACTTGTTTACAAGTTTATTGTAAACAAAATGATGAAAATATTAGTGCAGTTATTGTGTTGAATACAATGGTACCATATGGTACAATGGTGCCATAGGGTGCAATGGTACCATATGGTACAATGGCACCATATGATACAATGGTACCATATGGTACAATGGCACATGATACAATGGTACCATATGATACAATGGTACCATATGGTGCAATGGTACCTTATGGTGCAATGGTACCTTATGGTACTATATGGTGCAATGGTACCATATGGTGCAATGGTACCATATGGTACATTGTACCATACAGTACAATGATACCATATGGTTCATTATACCGTATGGTACTATATGGTACTGTTGTATTCAACACAATAAACACACTAATATTTTCATTATTATTTTGTTTACAATAGTTGTTTACAACAAAAATATGCAAAAATGTTGTATATTAGTAATGTTCTATTATATATTTACAACTGTACAGGAACTTGACATGTTCCTTGAGGTGGATGGCAAAGCACTTTGTCTCGGAAACTGCGGAGTCAGTACCTAGCTTGCGTCACAACTCAGTTTTGGCTGGTGTCTCATGCCACCAACACCTATTGACCATATGGTACATGGTATCATATGTTACAGGGTACCATATGGTACATGGTATCATATGTTACAGGGTACCATATGGTACATTGTACTATATGGTATAGGGTACCATGCAGTACAGGATAACATATGGTGCAAGGTACCATATGGTGCAAGGTACCATATGGTACAGGGTACCATATGGCACAGGGTACCATATGGCACAGGGTACCATACAGTACAGGACACCATATGGTACAGATACAGGGATAACTATAGAAATAAGTCACCCTGACTTTTTTGGGTTATCCTAGGATTTTATACGTATGCTGCTATGTACGATAATCTTTGCAATTGTATTTCTGTACACCTGAATAAACTTACTCAAGTGCATGAGGCATCATAAGTAAGTTTATTTAGGTATACACAAATAAAGTTACATAGAATATCATACTTAGCAGCATATGTTTGAAGAACCTAGGATAACCCAAAAAAGTCAGACAGACTTATTTCCATTAGGGTCCCTGTACCCTGTACCATATGGTATAATGTACCATATGGTACAATGTACTATATGGTACATTGTACCATATGGTACAATGTACTATATGGTACATTGTACCATATGGTACCATTGTACTATATACCATTGTACCATATGATACCATTGTACCATATGATACCATTGTATTACATGGCACCATTGTACCATATGGTACCATTGTACCATATGGTACAGTGGTACCATATGGTTCAAAACCATAGAATTACTCTTCAGATCCACTTCCATCAGTCTTAGAACTGTAAGTTGTGAAGAGGAGAGTCAGAATTCGCCTGGAGAGTGAGTAGGGAGTGAGAGCTTCCTTGCCGCCAGGCACGATGAACAAAGCTACTTTGCTGGCGTTCCCACAATGCCGTGCGGGCGTCCAGATTTTTTCTATAGTGTGCACACTGACCACCCAGACCCATTTTCTCAGATGTAGGCCTACCAGCCTTCTTGCACTAAATTTGACACTGCTAGAATTTTGGCACAGATCTACAGTTTGGACCCTGAATGTAAAGCCGTAGATCTACGGGATGGACCCTGAAAGGGTTAAGTCTGCCTGAAATGCCTCGGCATGATAGTGGCTTTCTTTGCTCCAATCATGTTATGATAGGTAAACACACATTGTAACCTTTACAAAGAAATAAATATTTTATTTCTTTATCTAAGGAACCTTCCCTGAGGGGGAAGTACGCATCCTGAAATTTCGTACATATCTAGAAACAAAAACTCAACTGAATGATGGCTCATATCCTGAAAAGTTCGCATGGTGGGGTGTTCGTAAGCCGTGGTTACACTGTACGTATTATTAACCCTTTCAGGGTCTGTAGTTCTATGGCTTTGAGTTGTGGGTCCAAACTGTAGAACTACGCCAAAATTCTAGCGACCTCAAATCTAGCTTGAGAAGGTTCGTAGGCCTACATCTAAGAGAATGGGCCTACATGGTCAGTGTGCGCACTATACAAAAAATCTGGATGCCCGCATGGCATTGTGGGAATGCCGCCAAAGTAGCTTTGTTCACCATGCCTGGCGGCAAGGAAGCTGTCACTTCTCGGGCAAATTTTGACTCTCCTCTTCCCAACTTATAGTTCTAAGACTGATGGAAGTAGATCTGAAAAGGAATTCTATAGTTTTTGAATCATATGGTATATTGTACCATATTATACAATGGTGCCATAACATACAATGGTATCATATGGTACAATGGTACCATATGATATATTGTACCATATACCATTGTACCAAATGGTACATTGCACCATATGGTAACACTGTACCAAATGGTACATTGTACCATATGGTACCATTGTACCATATGGTACCATTGCACCCTATGGTACCATTGTACCATATGGTACCACTGTATTCAACACAATAACCGCACTAATATTTTCATCATTATTTTGTTTACAATAAACTTGTAAATAAGTTTTGTATGCAATATAATGATAAACAAATTTTTGAAGTTATTGTGTTGAATACAATAAGTGTACAATTATACTTTATATTGGTCATACAGGCCACAAAAGTTACTGGAAGAAAAAAAAATATTAGAAAAGAAAAGAAAAAAGTAACAAAAACCTAAAATAAAACGACCTAAAATAAAATAATGCGACTTTATGGAAGTCGCAGATGTTGCCACCACCAGGTTATTGAGGGTCAATTTCACGCTTCTATATCTCGGTAACTACTGATGGAATTTTTTTTTTGTTTTATTACCTACAGACAACTATTATCTTTAATTCTGTAAGAAAGTTTTTTTTTTTTTTTCAAAAATTCTTGGACCTTGGTGCACCCTTTGAGATTTGGCCTGTGGACCCTGAAACGGTTAACTGAAGAAAAAAAAAAAGATATTCTCTCCCATTTTAGAATGTAAAATTTTTAATTAACCCTTTGAGGGTCCATCCCATAGTTCTACAGCTTTGAAGCCAGGGTCTAAGCCATAGTTTTACGCCATGAGCTCAGCTCACTCTGACAAGCTGTGAGTGGTAAATTTGAGCCTAGATATGAGAGAATGCATCTATGTGGTAAATGTGCACCAAATAAAACAAATCCTGCAGCATGCAGTGCATGAGATAAAAAAAAACTCCCACCATGTTTTTGGATTAAAACAGCGACTTTGATGTATATTTTCGTATGTTTTTTACAGTTGTATTCACGGTTTCTTGGTCTCATTTGATAGAATTGAAGATATATTCTACAGATATAGAGATGATGTTAATTGGTTTTAGTACTGAAAATGGCTTGATACTGAGCTCAAATTAGCACAAATGTTAAATTTTTGTTGATGTTCAAGGGTAAACAAATCACATCACATGTCCAATACACATCAGCTGGTGGGTTTAAGATGTGTTCACGAATGAGCTGATAACAGTAAATCTTCTGTTTTATGGTGTGAATAAAAAATCAAAGTGGAATTCATCTGTAAAGCCTTGAAACATAACTAATAAACAGAGGAAATGTTATTTTAGTGCCAGGAATACCTGCATTGTTTATTCTAGACCTTATTTTGAAATTGGAATATTTTGAACTTTGTGTGAAATTGGCCAAGTTACCAATTTTCGATCACTTCATTGGGTAGTCGAAATAGTTGACTGGGTGATTTCTTGCGCTCAATCTATAAAACAGAAATACAGTGATACCCAAACTTTCAAACTCTCTTCTTTCCAGAAGGCTGGTCGAGTGCCATTACCGAACGAATTTGTTCCCATAAGGAATAATGTAAATTAGATTAGTCCATTTCAGATCCCAAAAAATACACTTACAAAAGCACTTACAATAATACACTTACATAATTGGTCCATCAAGCATGCATGAGTGTGTTAGATAGAAGTGAATGGAGATGAATGGTATTTGGGGCCTGACAAGCTGTTGGAGTGTGAACAGGGTAATATTTAGTGAAGGGATTCAGGAAAAAATGGTTATTTTTATATAGCTGGACTTGAGTCCTGGAAATGGGAAGTACAATGCCTGCACTTTAAAAGAGAGGTTTGGGTTATTGGCAGTTTGGAGGGATACGTTGTGTATCTTTATATATATATACTTCTAAACTGTTGTATTCTGAGCACCTCTGCAAAAACAATGATTATATGTGAGTGAGGTGAAAGTGTTAAATGATGATGAAAGTATTTTTTTTGGGGGGGGGGGGGGATTTTCTTTCTTTCTGGGTCACTCTGCCTCAGTGGGAGACAGCCGACTTTTTAATAAAAAAAAAAAAAAAAATTGGTCGAGTTGGGAGCAGTTCGAGACTTGGGGTACCACTGTAATACTAGCAAAATAACTAAGAACTTGGTTGACTGGAATAATGTAATAGGCCTAAAATGGGAGTCAAAATGGGCAAAATTGCCGATGTGCAAATATTGGTGACACAGCAAAATTTGGGAGAGCATAATTTCTTTAATTTTCCATCAAATTTTGTACTTCTTGTCTAATTCCCTCCAGAAAAAGTTTCTCTACCATTTCATAAGAAAAATAACAAAAATTTTTTTTTGAAAATTCTTGAACCTTGTGGACAAGTTTCAGATTGGGGGTCTGGACCCTCAAAGGGTTAATGAAAAAAAATATTTTCCTTTACTGGCTATTATGACATATAAATATCAATATTAACAACATTAGAACAACATTTAAAGCTATGACTTCTGAACTATAAAATGATGTAAAACACTAAATGAATTTTCTTTAGTGATGCATAAATCATTACATGTTAAAGAAAGAGAAAAAGCATACACACTCATGAAATTATAAGGATAAAATGAGATTTTTTTTTTTACTAATATTTTATGTCTACCATAGGTCTAAGGGCATATTTTTGTTGCAATTTGTGCTAGAAAAAAAGCTAGATTTATGAGTGAGAATATACATTAGCATCCTGTATTGATGAGTAACAATGCTGTGTATGAATTGTGAAGTGAAACAGGTTTGTTAGTGAGTCTGGAGTCTGTCACCTTTTAATGTAAAACTGGGATCACATAATAATTATTGACATAAGCAAGCAAAGGTGTAAAAGGTTTCTGAAGTAAAGGAAGAGGTATTAATAAAACTTACCAGAGGTAAGTGTTTCAGGGTTGACTGATACATCATTGCTGATCATGAGGTGCAAAACAGTTCTCATGACCTCTGGATAACACATATAGCTGTCAGTAAGAATACTGTTGAGCGAGTCATGCAACTGTTCAAGCCATGACTCTTCATCACCATATGACATTATGTTTTTCACACTGTCGACCACTCCCTGGGCTAAAACCTCAAACAGGAGACGTGCCACCTTCCTATCACGCTGCAACAAATATGAATGTAATAAAATGTATAATTGGAAGCAAACTGAACTCATTCACTGTTATATCTAACACCATAATATAGTCAAAGTTAAAGTAACATAAGTGTTAGGGCTAACCTGTGCCAGAGCTTGAAGTGGAGCAATCAGTGCTCGGTGTGGAATCTGGATATCAGGAAGTTCACCAACACGATACTGCCTGTACATAGTCACCTAAAATACATGAAATAATCTTTAACGTTTTAACCCTTAAACTGTCCAAACGTAGATCTATGTTCATGTGCATAGCGCTCCAACCTTGATTTTCCCCATTTAAAAGCATGTAACAAAAACGTAGATCTATGTTCGGAGCCCCCCGCACGTGGACGTAGATCTACGTTTGTACAGTTTAAGAGTTAAATAGGTACCAGTATCTGGTAATATGTTTAGCTTCCTAACAAATTCAGTTTTGCCCAATTCATTTACATTTTTTATTCATCATAAGTAAGCACACTACTTGAATTATAAATGTAAGATACAGTCATCCTCATAATTTCCAGGGGTTACATGCCTAGAGGTCCTGTGAACTAGCAACCATGAATACAATATTACATTTGAATAGAAAATTATAAGTCAGAGTGAATTAACCCTTTCAGGGTCCCCAGGCCCTCTCCCAGACTTGTTCTCAGGGTCGCCCAAATTAAAAAAAAAAAAAAAAAAAAAAAAAAAAAAAAAAAATCTTATGAAAAGATAGGGAATCTTTTCCTGATCATAATGACACCAAAAGTATGAAATTTGATGGAAAACTTATGGAATTATGCTCTCACAAAGTTAGCAGTCTCGACGATGTTTACGCATCGGCGATTTTGCCCACTTTGAGTCCTATTTTTGACCAATTCCAGTGTACTAGTCGACAAAAATCATAACTATTTCGCTAGAATTCCATTTTTTCTATCAAATGAGTACAAGAAACCACCTGTGTAAGAATGGTATATAATACCGACAAGATGAAATTAAGACACATGTCGGTATTATATACCATTCTTACACAACTTGTCAGACACTGCAACATCATGGAATCTTGATTCTGAGGACATGTACATAACCTTCACGGCTACGACAACTACTACTACAACTAACCCATCTCTTTGGGAAGGACCTACTTCCACTGGGGAATCCCGCCTACCAGTGACTATGCCCTCGTCTGCTACACCTGACATTACTATATAAGCGCAAGGCTCCTTTCTTCTGCTTCAGAATCTCCACGACTATGGTGCTCTTCGCACCTACTCCTAGGTTGAGGGACTGATTACCTCATCTTCTGTACATAGTTCTACTGTCTTCAAGTTATATCCTAGAATTTGTATTGATAAAGCCACTGGATGGTGAAACGTCTACAATAAAGATACCCAGATGTTGCACATGTGTCTTATTTTCATCAAGAAACCACCTATTTACCGATTTCAACTATCCAATACAGTGGTCAGAATTTAGCAATTTTGCCAATTTCACATAAATTTCAAAAGATGCCAATTTCCAAACAGGGTCCAGAATAAACAAGAAAGACATTCCTGGCACTAAAATAACATTTCCTCTGTTCATTAGTCACATCCCTATGCCCCTCTTACATTCTTTTGCTTTCCACTTTGAATTTTTATTCTCACAAAAAATAGAAGATTTATTGTTATGCAGACTACTGCATTAGTGTAGAAATAGTATAAATAATATCAGCGCACTTGTGAAAGAATATTAGACTCACCAGTTGACGTGTATTGGATGCTTAGCATGATTTATTTACTTATGAACTTTGGTAAAAATCGAACATTTCTGCTACTCTGAGCTCAATTTCAAGGTACTTTTCATTGTAAAACCAGTCAAAATCATCTCAATTTCTGTAATATGTCTTCCATTCTATAAAATGAGACCAGGAAAACTAGAATACAACAATAAATACCATACAAAAATACAGTGCAAAGTCGCTGTTTTAATCCAAAAACACGGTCAAAGTTTTTTTTTTCTCATTAGGCACTGTGTGCTGCAGGATTTTTTTTATACTGCACACACTGACAACATAGACCCATTCTTTCATATGTAGGCCTACCAGCTTTCTCTCACTAGATTTGAGGGCGCTAGAATTTAGGCATACTAGTACATCAAAAACCCTGGTGCGTAAGCCGTACTAGTACGTCCGAAACCCTAAAAGGGTTAAACTTGTGTTTTAGCATCCATATCCATGTAATATGTATAACACTCTAGAATGATTAATATTGACATTCTTGAGAAATAATGACTGGAATAAAAAGTGATTCGAGTGCTGAAAAATCATTGAGCCAGAAAAATATGCTGGATAATCACATCTATTCACTGGCTGTCCTGCAGTGAAAATATTAAACAAATGAACTCTGTGAAAAAAAAAAATTAAAGGGTTGACTGTACAAGTATGTTCATTATGATGACTTGGGACACTCAGGGATGATACAACTACTAGTCTAACTGGATACTGTCATGGGGAAACCAAGAAGTGTGAAGGAACTATTTAAGGGAAGGGCAAAAAAAGTGAAGGAACTATTCATAAAAGTATGGGAAGGGCAAAAAGTGTAAAGGAACTACAGTAGGACCCCATTTTCACAAGAGACACGTTCCAAGACCTACTGTGGATACCCAAAACAGCGGATAGTAGAGAACCCTACATTAGTAATAAAGTTGGTAGAATTACCGACAATATGTAAAGTAAAAGGACACAAGTGCAACTAATGTGACATTTTATTGTGGCAACGTTTTGCTCTCCAGGAGTTTTATCAAGCTTGATAAAGCTCCTGGAGAGCGAAACATTGCCACAATAAAATGTCACATTAGTTGCACTTGTGTCCTTTTACTTTACAACCCTTCATTATATGGAAGTTTATTTCTCATTTACATACATACCCAAGATGAAGTTCAGTTGACAAATTATGCACAATAAGTTGAGAATTATCACTTTTGGTGATGGGAAGCACTTCAAGTTTTCTACAAGTAAACTAAAGTTTACGGGTGAGCGGCAGTCGCCGCTATTGCCATACGCGGCTCATTTTCTGCAAACTTCATGCCTCTATATCTCGGTAAGTACTGATGGGAAAAAAATTTTTTGGGGACTAAAACAATCAGAAAAATAATCTTAACATTTTCATAAGAAAAAATAATTTTTTTTTTTTTCGAATATTTTGCGACACCAGGAGACACTTCAGGATTGGGCCCTTCGACAGTCAAAGGGTTAATCCATTTCAGACACCCAGAAGTATTAACAAAAAAATTTTTTTTTGTAGCTTAACCCTTTCAGGGTCCGTCCCGTAGATCTACGGCTTTACGTTCAGGGTCCAAACCATAGATCTACGCCATGAGCTCAGCTCACTCTGATAAACTGTGAGTGGTACATTTGGGCCTAGATATGAGAGAATACATCTATGTGGTATGTGTGCACCACATAAAACAGATCCTGCAGCACACTGTGTATAATGAGAGAAAAAAAATGAGATCATGATTTTTCGATTAAAACAGCAACTTTGCAGTGTTTTTTCGTATGTTTTTTATAGTTGTATTTGCGATTTCTTGGTCTCATTTGATAGAATGGAAGACATATTACAGAAATAGAGATGATTTTGATTGGTTTTAGCACTGGAAATGGCTTGAAACTGAGCTCAAAGTAGCAGAAATGTTAAATTTTTGCCGATATTCAAGAGTAAAACAAACGACCTCACACGTCTAATACACATCAGCTGGTGGGTCTAATATACATTCACAAATATGGTGATGATATTTATACAATTATTACAGTATTGCATAACGTAAATCTTCTATTTTTTGGTGTGAATAAAAATTCATTATGTGAATAAAAAATCAAAATGGAATTTATTTGTAAAGCCTCGAAACATAACTAATGAACAGAGGAAAATGTTAGTTTAGTGCCAGGAATGCCTACATTGTTCATTCTGGACCCTATTTTGAAATTGGAATATTTTGAACTTTGTGTTAAATTGGCCAAATTAACAATTTCCGATCACTTTATTTTGTAGTTGAAACAGTTGACTTGGCGATTTCTTGTGCTCAATCGATAGAATAGAAGTAATACTAGTGAAATAGCTAAGAATTTGGTTGACTGGAATAATGTAATTGGCCTAAAATGGGAGTCAAAGTCGGCAAAATCGCCGATTCGTAAATATCGCTGACACATCAAAATTCGCGAGAGCATAATTTCGTCAATTTTCCACCAAATTTCGTACTTTTTGTTTTATTACCTTCACAAAAAGATTCTCTACGATTTCATAAGAAAAAATAACAAATTTTTTTTTTTAAAATTCTTGGACACTGGTGCGTGACTCCAGATTTGGGCCTTGGAGCCTGAAAGGGTTAAATAAATTTACATGCAGAAAAGAATGACAAATAAATATAAAGCACTAACAATATGTATAAATGAACATTTAATATCACACTTACCTTTATTGAAGACTCTTGTTGGTGTATGGCAGAGGGAAGAGGGAGGCGAGTTTATTGTTGGAGACAGGACAATATGCTTCAATATGACACTAATATCAACTCTACGGCTTATTTATCTATCACAATTCATCTAATATGACATTATAAACAATATTAATAACCTAGAAACATGACACTCTAGAATGAATAAAATATGCCATTATGTATGTCACAAGTGGTGTTGTGTTGTTGGATGTATAAGGACCACTGAGAGCATAAGCCATACATAGTGGTGGTGAAGGCGGGAGCAGAGGCGGCGGTGTTGTCAGAAGCTCTATATAACTCCAACAACAATGGAGAGGTAGGTTCATGCTGTCCTTTTTATATCAATTAATCGCTTAACTTACTTGCTACACTGTTAACCCTTTCAAATTCAAATTCAAACTTTATTCTCTATAAGTATTACAATGCTGAGTTTACAGAATTTGGTTATTGTGTGGTTTACATGTAGTAAAATAATAATTACAGAGTGTACCACTAGAACGCCTAGCATGGCTAGGCATTTCGGGCAGACTTATATTAAATCTTAGGTTTAAAATGTTACAGAATTATGAGATAAGTTGGTATTATGGCTAAGTGACTAAATACTAGTTGTGAGTTTAGCAATGTGAATACAGGGTCCAGAGGCCAAATTTCAGTGTGCATCAGGGTCCAAGAATGTTCAAAAAATAATTTTGTTATTTTTTCTTATGAGATGGTAGAGAATCTTTTTCTGAAGGTAATAA